TGTTTTCTGGTTATAGGATCACAAATAACAATTTAAGTTGGCCTATCGCGATGGCACAGCCATCGAAAAGTTCGGGACAGTTTGTCTTGCGACCGCAACAACGAGTTGCTTCGAAATAAAGACAATGCACAGAGGGTAATGAAGTACTTAATACCACTCTGTGTGCAGATATGGGCAGGTTTGGAATGCACCCAATCCGAATATGGACGTAGACGAATTAAACAGAATAACGAGTAACCGCTTTTAAGCAAGGTACAAAATAACACCTTCTAAAAAACGAGACGTTTAAAATTTGATAGTGCTTCATGCACGGCAACTAGTAGTATAGGTACAGGCGAAACGCTTGTAATTGGTCGAAATCGGACGTTTGATCAGTTTGGTGTGCCCTGTGCCCAAGCGCCAGTGTTAAAATGTATAGCAATCACACTTTCAGTGCAGTGATTTAAGCTCAGAAGCATGTACATGTGTGTGTGTGTGTGTGTTGCATAGACCTAATATCAGATGTGTGTACACGTGTATGTCTTGTATCGCTCTGAGCTCAGATGTTTCTACGTGTGTTTGTCTCACATGTGCGTATTTGGCCAGTATGCTCCTCAGTTCCAGTCTCTAAAAAGTGCCTCTGTATTGATCTAGCTACGAATTTATAGCGTCCGTGTGTATGCTGTTCCGTTGATATTGATAAGCATGGCAATGCCGTCCGAAGGGGTGTGTTTGCATATACCTGTGCCAGATCCATACTACTAAGACTGTCGAGTCTCAACACTCTGCAGCTGAGTGCTTATGCCAACACATCCACAACATGTATCCCATAGTATACTCTCTCCTGTATGAAAGCCCACACGGGATTCAAGTCCCGCCATCCGTAACTCAAAATCGCCACATGGCCAGTCTGTGGCTGAGGTGTATTGTGTTTAATAGAGAACACATATGTTCAGAACTTGTGTAAGTGTGTAATTCTTCTCAGTTCAGAAGTACGCGAAGTACGTCTCCAGTAAAGTATTTGCAATAAACTAAAAATATATATAAACAAAATATTTTTACATAAAATTCATATAGCTAAAATTTCTTATATGTACATAGGTCGCTCGGCTAATATTTCTTTTTATATATTTATATATAAAAGTATCATTTGTTTACATATTTCACAAGAATGCATAGATGTGAAGGATGCTTACAAAGCATCTCGATTATTTGGATTTAAGCAATAACGGTTAAGAAGGTCTTCCTCTCGATATGCTCTACATTTCCAGGTCCATTAGCACGCGTAATGACGTATCTGAGCTCGTTCTTCTTGCCGTCGACCGAGTGCACCTTGAACTCTCTGGTTAGGGCCACATGTCCGTCCTCAATCTTCTCCGAGTACGTCTTCAATAGCAACCCCCCGTGCGAATCACCTGCCTCGGGTGCTGGAGGGGCACACACCTGGGTGACCCCATCGTCAGCCATGAGACGCTGAGCGTCCTTATCCATGCTATGTACACTGCCGATGATCTCGTTCAAGTGTTTCTGGAGGTAGTGAGTTACTTCGTCGAAGTTGTCAACGAGGCTTTCCTCGGCGGCACAGAGCTGCATGATCTTGGCACAGGTGTTCTCGGCACCGATATCGCAGACGTGGTCGGATGCGCGTCTGCAATATACCAATGCCATCTTAAAAGTTGTTTATATATAAGATTGTTTGTATGTTTGTTTATTTATTCGTGAGAATGAAAAATCATTGTGGATTTCTGGCGACTTTTATGCAATATACAATAGTATGTAGTATAACATAATACATATATTGTTTATCTATCGGCAGCACGGATTCAAGGCACAGCGACTCAGAGGATTCGGGGGTTATAAAAAGACGACACATTTAAACTACACCCCACCTCATCCTTCTATATACGTTGACACAAATGTCACCTATAGTCGCATAGACTATAAAAGTGTTGTTGGTGCATGAGTGATCTCGGACAGAAGCTCATAGAACCGTGAAACCACATCGCATGTTTGTGTGAAACCGGTCATACAAATTGTCAAACCACAGCATTTTTTTATATATAAAAATACCACACCCCCAGCCCCCAGGGGCCCAGTGCCCCAGTCCCATGAAGGGTGGGACTCCAACCTCAATACGTTTTGCGTAAAACGTTCTTGTTTTTTGAAAATAAGCATGACTCTGGGTCCTGGGTTGTTCATACACAACTACATATACAGTGAATCAGTGATAGTGAAAATACGCGTTAAAAAAATATTCGTGTTGTTTTTTTGTTTTTTTTTCATATATACATCACGCATGACTCATCACTCATCAGTTGTTTTTCGTTTGATAAAAATAATAATAAATTCCCTGATAAAAGTTCAGAAATCCTTGCTTCGGCTAAATTCGGCACTTCTGGAACAGCCTCATCAGCAGACAACAACAACAAGTCCTACTCATAAACCCCTTCATCTGCTTCTGCCTGTTGTATGTTATGTAATACTATTAGAAGTGCTTTACATCTTTAGCCACACTGGTCTGTGTGAGACAGTGAGAGTGGGTGAGACAGTGAGTGCTATAGTCTCAACTCTCATCACTGGTTGGTCTGCGACTCTGTGTGTGTGTGACGGTGCGAATGTGTTTGGACGGTAGTGTCATGGTGTCGTATGATGTTTAAGCATGCGTCTATTTTTTTTACGTAATATTTGTTTACTTCATAGTGAGCTCTGGCAATATCTCAGTTCTCCACTGTTCTGTAAACAGAAACATCAGGCGACTGAACTCGCAGTAGTGCAGGCGCTTAGCACGCCAGGCGTAGGAGGTTTGTGAATAAGATATGACAGTAAAGCCAACACTGCAAGGATCGCACCCGATGGCCACAAGTATGACATCAAACAAGTCCACATCCGAGGCATGCAACTCCGAACTTCCTAGACATGCATGCTATTCTGTTTGTACTGATAAGCTGCCATGTCTCACGACTTGTTAAAACCCTAACTGTATGTTGACTCATGTTGTCTATGAATGCCACTGGATGTCGTTGCATGTTCCAGTACGAGCTATGTTTATCTATATTGTTATTGTGCCTTATAGTTAAAATCACCTGCACCGATAACTTCATGGGCGATTTTCCTGCTTCTTCTGTCACTCTCAGCAGTACATACCAGCCGATAAAGTTACTTTTCATTGTGCGTGTCATAGTCAGAAGGTTAGTCGCTGCTAATTTTAGTCTGTGACATATATGTGAGCCAGCGGAAGGTCGGCACGGTGTTTATTCGTCTTTCTCTCAACATTATATTGTGAAGTTCCATTATTACCAAGTCTGTTTGCGTGAATCAAGGAACAATGCGGCATTCACAATCGCCTCCTGGAAGCTCATACGAGAGTCGAGATAGTACAGCGACTGTTTGTATCCATTCCTGAGAAACGATGCAGATTGTAATGTCTGATTCTTGATTGTGGTAACTCTTGAATAGCTCGTGCTATTGTTTGCTACAATGCGTTGCATTTTTACTCTTCGTCTACTTTTGGTCATTTACTTGCACGTTCGTGTATATCTGTATATGGTTTTTTCTAATACAAACACGAGCGATCGCGCGATAAATGACGTTTGAGAAGTTCGGTGTACTTATATATAAATATATATATATTTATATATGTATATATATGTATATTTATATATATGTATATATATATATTATAGTATATATATATATTATATATATATATATATATATATATATATATATATATATATATATTCATATGTCGGATACGAGGAAAATTTTGTATGCATTCCTTTACGAAATGTATGTGTATTTATAGACACACACATATATGAACGTATGCGGGCATATATATACATATATGCGTGTGTGTGTGCGTGTGCATCGATATTTATATATATGTATATGTATGTATGTATATATATATGTGTGTGTGTATGTATATATGTATATGTATGTATGAATACATATGTAAATGTAATTACGAATGTTTATATGTACATTTATATTATATATATATATATATATATATATATATATATATATATATATTATTTATTATTATTATTATTATTATATTTATTTTATTTTATTTTATTTATTATTATATT